CTTACAGTAATTCATGCAAAAAATAAAAATATTAGCAGACTCCATTCTTGTTGTAATGCATTATATTCCATGTACGCGGAAAGTCTACTCATGTGTCAGAGAAATTTGGGTAGTGGCACACCATGTCTCAGGTGTAAATGCTGCACACAAAAACTAAAGGCATATGGTTGCTTCCATCATCTTGGTAGTGCTAGTCCGGTTTCTCGGATTACCGCATCCAAGATTCTTTATAGAATTTGATCTATCGTTCCTTGGGACATCCTACTCTTGATCGTCTTTGGTACTCATACTTCTAGCTATAGTGTTTGTTTGGTTGACTCTCTTCATCATAACTCTTATAAAGAAAAAATATCAGAAATTCGACCCTCTAGGATTCGTTTCAAACTTCAACGATGAGGTTGCAAATTAAGCTCAGCTAGCTCCAAGAGTCTCTTTTGCTCAAGGTACCACTCATGTTCTTGATCAAGGTAATATAACGTGTTGCCCATAGTTGTTATTGCGAACAGAAAAGACCCCTAAGATTTTAAGGTTACAATTTTCCTCAGCCTACCAAGCAAACCCCTTTGCCAAAGCTGAACTTAACGGCTACTTATGGTTCACTTTTCCTATTGGTATCAGCAGACATGGTTCCTAATTTCATTTAGAACACCAACCACCTTACCTAAAGGCCAGTCACAATGAACAAAAAACACCTGGACTTGAGGGCATCTAAAAGTCCTGCCTTGCACTAGTTCCTAGTTTTAGTTATGAACATAACTAAAGGGTGTTCTCAAAAGGGCACCACAGAATATTTAGCAATGCAAATAATACGCTTTAGGAGGACTCCTACAGTCGCAATAGCAATCTGCCAACAGTATCTCCCAAACTTAAAATAAGAGTTCCATATGATGCAGGTACAAGAAACCATGAAAGCTCATCCAGTACAGCATGAACAAGAAAATGACATACCCATTCCACAAAATTATGACAACAGAAACTGTAAAAATGAAAACCTGAAATATAGTATTTATTTTTCGCGACTAGAAATATTGCATTTGAGAGCTTGATCATACATTTCCCAAGCTAAATTTGACGTTTTTGTCAAGCTTCATTCTTTGCTTTGGATGGAAAAACGAGTCTATGAAGCAGTATCGAATTGCACTAAAAATTTAGAATTGATGGGCCAATTTCTTTTTCTTGATAAAATTGCATTTTAACAATAAATACAAATTTCCTTTATAGCCACAAGTTCAAGCTTGTTTTAACTAAGGAATTTTTTTTTTTATTTTCTAATATGAAATATCCGAGTACCTATTAGGAGGTGCGAGTTAGTTCAAGTGGCAGAACTTAAAATGGCAAAAGGTAGGCCCAAAAGGACATGGTTGGAAGTAGTTCAGAAAGATATGAGGGTTTATGGCCTCACTTAGGGTATGGCATTTAATAGAACAGAAAGGCGGATCAGGATTTGTGTAGCAGACCCCAATTAATTGAGTAAAGGCTATGATGGTGATAATGATGATGATGATGAGTACCTTAAAGAAAATATTTGACAATTAGCGCATGGGTTCTCTCAAGATTTTACCCTTAATCGTATAATCCATCAATACAAATACCTTCACACCTTATGTGTTTTTAAATGCATGTCAAGTCAAGTAGCAATCCTTTGATATTTATAGAAAATGAAACTAGTTGAAAGCCCAAAATTAGTCTCAACATTACACTAGCAGAGAGCTCATACGCGCTCTTTTCCTTTTGATGGTCAGCCAAAGCCCCTAAAGACTCTACCCAAATAAAGTTACAACTCCACTTCATAAAGTTTTTTCTAATAGGAAAGAGACAATGAATATATAGTGGCCTCCTGGCAGGATTAACATATATTGAAAATAAGGATTAACATATAATGAAATACCTCTTAGTTTACTGCAACCAGAAGAAAATAAGGAAACAACAGACCTAACTCCACATAGCGCAACTGCGTTATAAATATAAGACAAATTACGTGGATGAAACTTTAAATAAACTTTACCAATTGGCTTATGAAATCATTCTGAAACTTTGCCTCCGTCTCTATTTCTTGAGCTACCTGCAAGAATTGAACAAAAAGGAGGAAGAACATTAAAAGAAAAATAAAACAGAAATTATAAAAGGAATAGAGATATAAAAAATAATGACTATTCCTAACACTGTAACTGACAATAAGGACATCCGGTGCTCAAAGAGCAGGAGCAAAACACAATCCAGAAAACAAAGGGGAGTGATGCAACAACTTAAGTCATACAACCAACAGCTTACAGTTCAGCTACCGAAGAAAGCGTCCTAATGTGGACAAATCAACTCAAGCCCATCCCTTCCATCTATCTCTCAAGAGCGTGCCCACACAAGAATGAGGTGAACAAATGTTTCAATAAGAAAATGTAAGATTATAGGATTTCATGCCATAACTCTGCCTTAGCCAGCCCCAAGCTGGACCCAAGCCCAAGAAAAGGAGGAGGGTAGGGTTAGGCAGGGCAGCCAGCGCAAAACTCTACCAAATATTGTCATGAATCCTGAACCGATGAGCAGAATGGCAGATCAAGATTCATGTAGCCCGACCCCAAATAGTTGGAATAAGGTTTAGATGATGATGATGATGATGATAGGATTGCATGCCATAACTATTCCCGAGTAAATACTTCGAAAACACACTAACTGAACTCTTGGCATTTGCTTAACTGATCCCTGGTACAACATAGTTTATGGTAAATTTTGTACACCAAATGAAGAATAACAAGCATATAATAGTTTATTAATGGAAACTATTATATGCTAATAACTTATCCAATGATGAGAATAATAAGCATGAAATGATAGATTTCATTTGTTTTTTTTTTTTTCACACCTTTTAATAATGGAAAGACTAAAGATATTCTCGTTTTTTTTTTTTTAAGAAAGTTGACTTAAGACATTCTAGTAGTTTTATCAGAAGTGTCTGCTATCACTGGTTCCTCACGGAATCGCAAAAAATATCAGCCATAAATGATAATAAGAACCCATTGATAAGAACCAGTCAAGAGTGAAATTAAAAAAGAAATTAAAATGTGCAAAAAGAAAACAACAGCCCACTTTGGGGGGAAAGTCCTCTTGTGTGCTTTTAAACACTACAATTTTCTTCTCTAGAATCTCTACCTGCTCCTCCCCCACAAAACACATTTTTATTCTCCCCGCTACAAATCAAATCTGAAATTTGAATTCCTGAAAACTATCAAACTATCTATCCTAAATTTAAAGTTTAAATCCTTGCTTATTTCACCTCTTTATCTCAACATTACACCCTCCTTGCAAACCAACATTGCCCTCAAGGTTGGAAATCTGGAAACATTCTTGAAGCTTGTATAAAACAGCTCTATTGTTGCGTCATACCATGCGTTGATCAAGGATCGCTTGTGGCTGAAGTTGTACTATAGCCACCTTTGAGACTACTGGAAATTCCTAATGCTTCTCAATATGCAGCCCCAGCTTCTTCTTGCGGCAAGATGCATGGAAAACAAGATAAGTTTTGGAGTCTGCAAGGTCTAACTTGTATGCTACCTGCCCCAAGGTTTCAAAAAACGCTAGGCGGCCGGCTTGGCGCCCAGGCGGGCACCTAGGCAGTTGTCCAGAACCTTAGGCAACCTGTTGTCCAAGTTATATAGATATGCAGTATATATACATATATTTATGTCAATTTTAGAATTTATTTCATTTGAAAATATTGTAACATTTTTTTATGTACAAAAATATGACATATCGCATGTTGGGAATAAATTTGTTCAAATTTTAAATGTCAAACCATACAAAATTGTAAAGTCTAATAGGATATGTATTAGTAATAGTCTCCAACTCAGTGTTTTAAAATGCGGCCGCATCGCCGCATATGCGGCCGCATCATGCGGGATGCACTCGCATCCACATCACAAACTGGCACATATGCGCTTTTGACAGATGCGGCAGCATATGCGCCGCATCATGGCCACATCTGTTTTCTGCGAAAAAATTTATCGATTTTGCCCCTCATAGAGGGGCAAAATGGTATTTTTGAACTTCCAAAGTTTAGGGAAACTATTTGGGGGGTTATTATACCCCCTAAACGAAGATTTCCAGCCACTTTTGTGGCATTTTTTGCATCAAATCCAGGGAAAAAAAAATTTGGCGAAAATTTTTTTTTCATCCAAATCTTCGATTTGGCGGTTGTTTGATACTTGGATGTTCATTTGATGCCTTTGATTGTTGATTTGGGGATGTTAAGGTGAATTTGTGATAAGAAATTGGGGGTTTTAGAGGCCGTGAAGAAATCGAGCACTACTTCACAGAGTCTGTAACTTTTTATTCCTTCTTGTACAATAATACTGTTATACTTATTTTTGGGGCAATGTCTTCTTCCCAATCTTCTAGTAACAAGGATCCGGCTTGGAAATATGCTAAACTAAAAAATCCGAAAGATAAAAATTGTGTGATATACTTGCTCTATGGAAATACTTATATAGGTGGTATTTTTCGACAAAAAGAGCATTTAGCTGAAATTTCTGAAAATGTAAGAGCATGCCCACAAGCTAAAGATGATAACAAAAAAAGATATTAGAGAGTATTTGGATAAATTGAAAAAAGATAAAGAGAAAAAAAAAAAGAATTACTTGATGATATGCAATTATTTGATGATGATGATGATGATGATGATATGTCTGAAGTTGCTATGAGGCAAAGGGATACTCATACTCCAACCTCAAGAGAGAGGGTTATAATATTGGTGGTAGTGCTGAGAGCAGAACACCTCTCTCTAAGGGGCTAATGAATTCTTTTTTCACCCCTAGCCCCAAAATTGTGGTTCAGGAGAGAAAAAAAAAACAAAACAAACCACATTTGAAAATAAATATAAGAAAGAACAAAGGAAGTCGGTATGTAAGTGGATTGCACAGTGGATTTACATGGCTGACGTTCCTTTTAATACTATAACTCTGGATAGTTTTGCATATATGGTCCAGGTAATTGGGCAATATGGCCCAAGACTTATTCTTCCTTCACTACATGAGGTTAGGGAACCCTTGTTGAAGGATGTTGTATTTGATGTGAATAAAATTTTGATTTCTCAAAGAGAAGGGTGGAAGAAATATGGGGCCACTATTATGTGAGATGGTTGGTCCGAAGGAAAATCAAGGGCATTCATTAATTTTTTGGTTAACTGCCCAACAGGTACTTTTTTTGTTAAGTCTATTGATGCATCAGACAAGTCACATGATCGTATATACTTATGTGGCTTGATGGATGAGATTGTCGATTTTGCTGGGGAGCAAAATGTGGTACAAATTATCACTGACAATGGTGCCCACTATGCTGCAGCTGGGCATTTCTTGACTTTGAAAAGGAAGCATATGTTTTGGACTCATTGCATAGCTCACTGTGTTAATCTTATGCTTAAGGAAATGGGTACAACATCTTTATTTAGTGAAGTGATTTCAAGAGCTATGTTTGTTGTTGAATTTATTTACAATCAAACCATAATCTTAGGCATGATGAGGTCTTTTACAAAGAAGAGAGAATTAGTGAGACCGGATATCACTAGATTTGCCACGTCATTTCTCACTCTTCGAAGCCTAGCCAATTAAAAAAGTGCCTTGAGGTCCATGTTTGCTTTAGAGCAATGGATTCAAAGCAAATGGTCAAAGCATAAGGATGGGAGAAAGGCTGAAAAAAATATTCTGAATACATCTTTTTGGAATCAAATAATTTTTGCATTGGAGGTGGCTCGCCGTTTAGTAAGAGAGCTTCGACTGGTTGATGGTGATGCGAAGCCCACCATGGGCTACATACATGAGGCAATGACTAGGGAAAGAATTGAAATAAAAGATGTTTTAAAGGATGATGAAAATAGAAAATATGCGCAAGGCTATACTTAAAATTATTGATAGGAGATGGAATACCCAGCTTCATAGGCACCTCCATTCAGCTAGTTATTTTCTAAACCCATCTCTTCACTACAAGCACCCATCCATTGAGTCAGATCGTGTAATAAATGGTGGGTTCTTAGATGTGCTGAAGAGGTTAGTGCCAGACAAAGATATCCAAGATGAGATCCAGAGCCATGAATTGATTAAGTTCAAGTTAGCCTTGAGGAACTTTGGGAGAGATATTGTCACTCGAAATAGGGACACTACAGATCCAGGTAAAGGCCAAAAGCCCAAAAATAATCTTACTTATCTCTTACTTTATGTATAGTTCTATTGTTTATTTTATACTCTTAATTTTTAACTATATTCTAAATTATAAAATATTATACAGCTGCATGGTGAGCATTATATGGAAGCGAGACACCAAATCTACAATGTCTCGCTATTCGAGTGTTGAATCTCACATCTAGTTCAGCTGGTTGTGAGCGCAATTGGAATGCATTTGAGCATATAAGTCCTTTACTCTTTATTCCTTAATCCTTATTTCTTGAATTTCAATTTTCTAATCTAAAATCTAATTTATCTGATTTCACATTTCTACCATAGCTCCATACAAAAAAAAGAAATAGGTTGGAGCAGAAAAAGTTGAATGATTTGGCTTATATACGGTATAACGAGAGGCTTAAGGAGAGAGGTATGAAAATCGCACGAAGCTCAACCCTATTCAATTATATGAAGCTGATGGCGATTCCATAAGTGAGTGGACCATGGATCCAAGACAAGAGCGTGTGTTTAAGGGTGAGGATCTTACATGGCTTGATGTCGTGCTAGCAACAGGGGCTTATGAAGAAGATCGACCTAACACTAGAGCACAAAGGAGTAGAGGAGCTGATGGGTCTAGTCGCACTCGCACATTAGCTTCAGAGGTTGAGGAGGAGGAAGCTGACTCAGAGGAGACCGATGAAGAAGAATACATGGAGGCCGTCGATGATGATATTGATGATGCGCATGACGACTCTCAAGATGACTTGTCTGATTGATATTTGAAAAAAATGAAGTTCAGATTTCAAAATTGACTTCTAAAATGGATGATTGTATTAAGTTATTAACTATTAACTCTTCTTGAGCTTGACTTTTGGTTTGTATTTATAATATCACTATTTCGGCTTATGGTTGTTGATGGTTGTGCTTATAGTTGTGCTTATGTTGCAAATTTGTGCTTATGGCTGTTGATTGTTGAATGCTTTATGAAGCTGGTTTCACGTTTCTAGTTTCTATCAGGGGATAGTGTATACTTGGATACAAAATCTCCGACAACTAATAGTTTTGAAGTTAATCATTAAACTAAAATACCTACTATCGCATATATCACCTTCATATTTTTTCTTATGCAATAACTTATTTTTTAGATTTTTTAGAACTTTTTTACATTTATTGACCGCATCATCGCGATGCACCCGCATCCGGGCCACATCGAGCCGCATCGGCCCCCCACTGCATCAGGGCCGCATCATGCATTTTAAAACACTGCTCCAACTCTCACATATTTCATACTAAGTGAATAGGTTTGGGAAGGTTTTTCAAACCACAAAAAATACTTTTGATTCTCAAAAAGCGATTGAGGGTTTATGGAAATTTTCTTTTAAGGGGGTGAAAATAACCCCCATAACCTATTTAAACCTCAAAATTACCCCATTTTCCTTTTCGGTATTTAATTAAATAAATAAAAGCCACATCCCTGGGCACCAGCCTAGGCACCAGCCTAGGCTCCCGCCTGGCCCACCTGGGCACCCACCCAGGTACATCCGCCCGTGTAGGGTATTTCTAGGCAAGCGCCTAGGTGCCGGGCAGACTTCATAAATCCTCGTAGAGGTGCTGTTAAACATTCATAAGGTTGTAACTTCAAAAACACCAAATCTCCTTCTTTGAATTCACGTTCAGTCCTGTTCTTATCACTGTTTTGCCTCATACAAAACTAAGCTACTTGTAAGAATGTTTTTAAATAGTTCATAGCCCAAAAAATATACGAAGTCACCTAGCCCAAATTTAAAATTCAAATCCATGAAAATTAAGAAAAGAGGAAGAAACCAGAAAAATAAAAGTTTGAAACGGACCAAATTTATAGCACAATGCGAACAAAAATGATCTTAGACAAGCAAGACATGATAACCCCATTGCTCAATAATCCCAAAATGGAAATGAAAAACAGAGAATAAAAAAATTATGAAAAAAATCCAATAACCAATATCAAGGTCTTTAGCTCCCTCAGTTATGCAAAACACATCAGAATTTCTTTTTTTCTTTGTTCAATGGATGAAATCATTTCAGGTTTTTTTTTGTTTTTAATGAACAAAACTATACAAGAATTCTCCTCAGTTACCTTCAAAAAAGAGTTTCGGAAACAGGGAACTCACATTTTTCAATTGCCTGATCTTCCAATGCAAGCCAGTTATCTTTTCATCTAAATCTGCATGCAAAGGATCGATTCTCACTTGAATCTCTTCTTGCGAAGAAGAACCCACTCTTGTTGAAACCCCTTCTCTGCATCAAATCATTGAAATCCAAATAAACTATCCAAAAAGCAAAAAGAAAAAGGGAACGTGATCCTTATGAAGAAGAGGAGACCCTAAATCTCCCAAATCAAAGTGAAAATTTACCTTGATCTGATGGATCCACCACCATAGAAACCACGACGTTGTGGGCTATCCATGGAGCCTGAGAAAGAAAGAAAGGAGCGGAAAACCCTAACCCAACACGAAAGAAGACGAGGAAACCTCAAACGTGTAAATTACTAGCCATAAACACGCAGTGAGAAGCCAAAATAAGAAGGCGAAGCATCTCTCTCTTTCGTGTATCTTGCGCCTGCACAAGGGTTTTTTTTTTCAAATATAAAATTTGCCTTTTCTGGGTAAAACTTGAGGAAAGATCGCACTTTCAGATTTACAAAAGGCAATAATAATGAATGTGTCTTGTGTCCCGAAGGTAACGGCATCACGAAGAGCGGAAATCAATCAATATAATTTTTTTTTGTCAATTATTTAAAATGTAGAATTACAGATACACCTCAAAAATTCATTAAAAAAAGTTGTTCTAATGTCGAAAAACCTTCTAATGGATCATCTCGACATCAAGATCTACAAATATAAAAAATAAAAAAAAAGGATTTTTGAGTCCTAAAAATAGTACATCTTGTAACGCATTTTCTAGACGGTCTATTTTCAAGATTTTCATATATTTATAGATCTACTTGATTTTAACTATTTTTGACGTTTAAAATTTTATAATTAGATATAAGAATAGATTTTCAGATAATCCTAAGAAATTTTTACACCAAAATTACCTGTTATGATAAATTTTGAAAGTGCTACTTAATTGATTGTTTAAGGTGCAACCTTATAAAAACCACACCCTTCTTTAATTTAATACTTTTTCATTTTTCTCAAAAAGGACTACGCTTGGAGGGTTTATGATGCAGGTTTCCGGCCAATGACCCGCTCCAAAGATATCGACTTTCTCTCTCTTGATTGTTGCCTTTGTTTTGTTTCTGTTCTTGTTTCATAGAACACACTATCTCTAAAAAAAAGAGATAATTGCCTCATCTGTGTGGCGGATATTGCAACCTCCCCCGAAGCAACAACAAAAAACCCAAATAATGAGGCTTCTTTAATTTGCTAAATTATTTTGCTTTTCAGTCTTAACTCAAAACAACCAAATAGTTTTTTTGATGCCCAAAATATCTTTGAGTCGAGGCTCTAAATAATCAAATTAGCGCCCACCTCAAAAAATTCATTAGAAGAGGTTGTTTTGATGCCCAAATATCCTCAAATTGATCATCTCGATATCAAGATGCATGGACGTAAAAAAAAATGGATTTCAAGTTTTGGAAATAGTGCATCTTGTAACGTATTTTTGTAGTATCAATTTTCAAGATTTTTAAGTTTATAATTACTTTTATTATTAGAGCATCGGCTCTATACAAACTACACCTTTTATATATTAAACCTACTATTTAAAGAAAACTCTTCCCAGTGCCTATAGGCGAAATGAATAGTGATTTCACCTACCTTCATTATCATACAAACTTCATCGCACGGTCATAATTTTTTGGTAGGATTTTAATTTTTATTTTTTTTTACAAATCTAAATTATTTGAAATTTTGAGCGTGTGTACATCTTAGTGAGACTCACTTAATAAAAATATG